CCCTAGGTGCCCCCTGCCGCCTGTGTGGGCACACGCAGGCCATCACAGTGCCTGGCCTGCAGCTGTACTGGGGAGCCACCTGGCTCTGGGAATGATGCTAGCACAGGGGAGACCCTCCCTAGAGTGCCGGCTTCTGCAGACCTGCACAGCAAACACAGCTGCTATCCCCAGGAGGTGAAGCTGGTGTTAACACCCAGGTCCCCGGTGAGATCATGACCCTGGCCATTCCCTAAGAAATGTACTTATTCAGCTCCCTTGGGAGGAGTTGGAAGCTAAGGCCTGGTTGGGTTTCCAGGTACCTGTTACAAGACCCAGGATGTGGGGAACCAGTGCGACCAGGGCCCCTGTTGGCCACACCTGCTGGCCAGCATCTACTGCCTGAGCAGCAGGAACTCACGGGCGCGAGTGGGCTGTCTCGTAGCGCTCGAAGGCGTGGGCGAGGTCGTGCTTATTGTGCATGTAGCACTGTGTGCAGAGGTCGTAGTCAAAGCAGACGCGGCACTTCCAACGCATGCCCCGCAGCCCGTGTTTCTTGCAGCAGTCGCAGATAATATTGGGGTGGCGGACGCCTGGGGGTGGGGCAGGTTCAGGAGTGGCAGCTCTGCCCATCAGGGCCCCGCCTCCACCTTCCCAGTCCCGGATGCACCACACACACGCATGCATGCAGGCACGCAAGCAGGCACGCACCGATCTGGGCGTTATCGTAGAGCAGCAGGTCGTGTGCTCCCTGGTAGCCGGCACGGTAGTTGGTGCGGGTGCCCTGGTCCCACTGCACGACAACCGTGCGGTCAGGGGTCGAGGGGCTGCCATGGCGACCGAGCTCCACCACCGTGCCCACGCCGCCCTCGCCGCCGTCCTGTTGGCCCCACTTCCAGTCCACGCCACGCACCACACGCATGCCCACCTGCACACCTGCCTGGGGGTCCGGGTCCATGGCAGGGCTGGGCTGCTCAGGGACCTGCAGGCAGAAGTTACCGTCAGCTGTGTCAGGAGGTCACACAGCAAAGCCTGTCTGCGGGAAGAGTCTCACCTGTTCAGAAAGGCCACTTGAGAGACTCCTGAAGGTGGAGAGTAGAAAAAACAAACCAGCAAGAGCTAGGCTGAAAGGAGTGGGGGTAGGGGTCTGTGCAAACGCTCTGGGAATGGGGGAAGGCAGTGAGCATGTGCCAAGAGATCTGAAGAGGCCCACAGGCCATCACTAGAGGAAGGCCAGAGGAAAGGGAAGGCAGCACCCAGCCTGGAGAGAGTGGGGCCAAGAGCAGACCACCACAGGGACCAGACCTGGCTGGGGAGGTCCCATGCTAGTGGATCTTACTGTAGGTGGTCAGTACACAGTGGGCCATCAATACATACATATCTGTTTAAAAATTAATAGATGTGGCAACCAGCAGGTGGCATAATGGTTTTGTTGCTGGACTCCCACGTAGTCGACTGTGGTCTGTCCTGGACGCAGTGGCTTAAAACTTACGCCGGGGGGACCAGCAGTTAGCATAATGGCTATGTCGCTGGACTCCCATGTAGTCGACCGCAGTTCAAGTCCCGGACCCGGTGGCTTAAACTCACACTCGGTGCGTGTGCGTGCGTGCCTAAGATCCCGAGAGGAAAATGGAGGAAAAGGGACTGTGGCATGGCCATCCTTCTTGGGGGTGATTTCTCACTTTCTGTCTCTCTCTGTCTGGCAAGCACACACGTCCTATAACCCCCCAAAAAAAAAAAAAAAAAAAAAAAAAACCTCACGCCAGGCATGTGTGCATGCAGGCCCAAAATTCTAAGAGGAGATTGGAGGAGAAGGATTGTGGTGTGGCCATTCTCCCTGGGCAGTGATTTCTTGCCTTTTCTCTGTCTCTGTTTCTCTGGTGAGCACACATGCCCTATAGCAAAAATCTCTAAAAAAAAAATTAATAGATGTGAACTAAAGAAATCAGTGTAAAGGCAAGACAAAAAAAGCTTTCAGAAGAAAACAGACCTTTTGTTTTTTTTTTTAAAAAGAATTATTTATTCATTTAATTCCATGTATTATTATTATTAACTTGGTCAGAGAGAGAGAAAGGGAACAAGAGAAAGCAAGCTGTCGGGTCAGGGACTCAAATCGCGGCTAGCCATGTGGGAATCCAACGCCTTTAACCACCACGCCACCTGCTGGCCTCAACCTTTTCTGATCTTTAATGATACTGTATTAAAGTAAGAACTGCAGGACTAGCAGCTGGCGCCATGTATTATTATTATTAACTTGGTCAGAGAGAGAGAAAGGGAACAAGAGAAAGCAAGCTGTCGGGTCAGGGACTCAAATCGCGGCTAGCCATGTGGGAATCCAACGCCTTTAACCACCACGCCACCTGCTGGCCTCAACCTTTTCTGATCTTTAATGATACTGTATTAAAGTAAGAACTGCAGGACTAGCAGCTGGCGTAAGAACTATGTCGCTGGACTCCCATGTAGTCAACCATAGTTCAAGTCCCAGACCCAGTGGCTTAAACTCACACCAGGCACATGTGCATGCATGCCCAAGATCTGGAGAGAAGAATGGAGGAGAAAGGATTGCGGCGTGGCCATCCCCCCCGGGGGCTGATTTCTC